TGTCGAGTGAGATATAATATTAATTATATTTATTAAAAATAATATGAGAGGTGGAGGATTTGGTTAAACCTGCGGTCGTTTTGGTTGATTTATTCATTATTGTAGGAATATTAGATTGCGTTTCAAAATTATTGAGTGAGATAATAACAATTACATTTAATTTGAATCTATGGATATTTTGATTGATTAGCGAAATATTTCGTTAATTTCTTTTGATTAATTTATTAATAAATTTTTATATATGCAAAGTATTCTAATGGTATTCAGGTATTTGTAAATTATTCTGCAAGAAAATATTTCATAGTGTTAAAGAATATTATTAATTTTTCTGTAAATAGATAAATAATTGACATTCGATCAAGATATTTTAGCTCTTGTCCTCGATTCATCTTCAATTTTTAACCTATTTATCGATTTTTTATTAGTAATAACAATTTTCAAATGTTCGACATATTGACTTTCTCTTTTCGTTTCCGATGTAACATTATGAATTTTTCATTTTCCACTTTTTTCCACTGGCAATCTGTCAATACCTGTAAAAAAGCATCGTAATGATATAATTGAATTAAATGTTTTTGAGGTTCATTTTTATACAAGTCAACGAACTTCGATTTATATATATTTTTATATGTCCCTTGATTTGCATATAAGATAATGGAATATCAAATTCCAGATATTACTTGAATTTAATATTTCATTTCTCCATAGTGTATTTATTTTTGCAGTTGACAAGTAAACTTTGATTGATATCTTTTTAAAAAGATTCTTTGATTTGCATGTAAAGCAGTGAAATTTCAAAAAATAATCTTCCATAGATTTTTCAATATAATACATTCAATATATTCCTTTTCATTTTGATAAATAGATAAATATCCATTGATATTTTTAATCTCGATTTTTTTTGGATTAAATATTTGGATCATTATTTAAAAATAATCTTTCATTTTTCCACATACTTACAATAATGTTTCATTATCCCACAATGCTATCTCGTTCACATCAAATTCTTTCAATGTTTTCAGCTTTCAAAAAAATTTCATTAGCTTTTCATGAATCCACCAATCCTTATTGCTCTCTGATTAAAGGCAAATGAGAGCTAGAACGAAGAAGAAAGAAAAAAGGCTGAAGGATCAAAAGATTCGAGGAACAAAGTGTCCTCTTCCTTGTTCTCAAGCACAAAAGCGATTCGATCAAGCGTTCCTTTTTTTATTCTTTTTCTTTCTTTTTTTTTTTTGCATCAACATTGTACTCTTCTTGTCAGTTTAGGGCTGTAGTAATTTTTAATAGTGTATCTTTTTCGAGCACAGCATGCATTTCTTGGTAGCTATTCGAAGGACCTAACGAGCCTTCCTTGGAAGGAAAATGAGTCTACGTTCATACGATTTTAATAACGCGAAAGTGCTTCCTTTTGTTCCATATCTTAACGTTGTTTTCTTTAACGTTGGTCCATCCAAAGGATAGTTACAGTCTCGTTTTCTCTTCGTATTTTTAAAAATTAATTGTTCCATTGCGTCGAGGAAACGATGAACTTTATTCCATTTCGACGTTATTTTTTATTTTATTAACAAAATCAAATTATCGAGAGTTGTTTTCGAATTTACTCTTAACGAAGTACCTTGAGAATTTTATTTTCAAGTGTGTTCGCATCTTTTAAGGGAGAAGCAAGTTCAGAGGGGTGAAAAATTTTTAAAGACCTTGATATCTTATTTTTTAATCTTATTTTATTCTTACTTTTTAAAAGTAAGGAAAAATGCAAATTTTGCAAGTTAATAATTATGCTTGCAATTAATTCTCTTTATTGTTCGTTATAAAGGAGTATAGTGAGAAAGTGTACATTTTTACTTAATTTTAAGAGATATGACAGGAAAAGGGTTATAAAAGGGAAGTAATGGTCGTTAGGAACAGGAACCAGGTCCATAGGGAATATCTTCGACGAAGTATGAGGCTCGCCGATGAGTTGACTATATTTTGGCACGAGGGGTTGCCTGCACCCTCGTTAGTATTAGGATACTTACGGAGAATAAGTTAATGCAATTATTATTTAACCTTAAAGAATAACGATATATATCGGTTGTTATGATAAAAATTCGATTAATCGTGGTATGATAAAATTAAACGTTTTAGGTAAATTTTAAATAAATATACTGCTTCATTAACAAAAATATTATTTTATTAGAATACGATTATTTGAGAAATTAACATATATTTTTGGAAATACAATACATTATAATGTCCATTAATAATACATAATATCAAATGACACAAATTCTGATTATTGCAAATCACCGATGACTGACGCCAGATTGAATACATCAAATCATTAATCATGCTAATCGTGAAATGATTGGCCGTTATATCACATAATATCCTCAACGAAAAAAAAAAAGGATTTGATTTTAGCATTATTATATAACGAAAATATTAATATAATTTACAGTAATTTACATTTTTCAAAATTGATAAATCATTCTAAATATTTATTTATTTTATCAAACAAAAAAGAAATGAAATGCTTCTTTCAAAGTATATAGTGAAATGAAGCAATTTCTAAAGAAAATTTATTTTCCAAAAATGTGGTTGCATACGAATAGAGAGGAATAGAGAAGAATAAAAATAGGATGGAATTTTTATAGAAAGTTATAACAATATTTATCCTTTCTAAGTTTAATATTTATCAGATAAACAAAAGATCCCCATCCTGTTCATTTACCACAAGTAGTTTGCCACTCCATTTTGTCATTTTGATGACAATAATCAGCGATTGGCATCGAAATTGGATTTGCTTGAAATTTCATTATGGTCATTCGCCTTATCGCCGCTTTGAATTACAGTCGACAATCTCGTTGCGGCGGTATCGGTTCCGTGTTATCACGTTTACCTTCGATAAACCGTTCGCATCTTTCGTAATGAGTATTCGCCCGAATGGAAACAAGGATTTTTGATCGGTTATTACGTGAACACAGGATTTCAAGTGTAATCCCGCCGCTCAGCTGATTTAGTAATTATCGAAGAAGGGGAACATAATCGAGGATGAAACAGACAGTTCTCATTATCCTTGTAAAACTATCGTCTGAGCCCCTAAATTCCTCTCATAACGCGAAAATCCATAAAAGGATTAATTTAATAGTCTTCTAATGAAAATTGTCCCAATGATATTCCTTAATTTATCGATTAAAAGTTATTCATATTGCGAAACATTGAACGTAAAATATATGTATAATATTAGGAGTATTAGTTTGCAAGTATTTAAGATTGAAATAAAAAAATAGGGAATTATTTTCTATAGACAGAGAAAATGCTTCATAATCTTATACCTTAACTTCTCGATCTTCAAAGGAACCTTTGCATTCCTTCACAAACCTGTTGCTCCCTAGATTAAGTTCTCGTAACACTAAATTATAAAATTAATATATTATGAATATTCGGAAACAATCTTCAGAAAATTAGAAGAAGAAGAGAAACGGTGAATAAAAATACCGGATATATCGATTCGAAATCGATCCATTCGTAAAATTCTCTCGCATCGTTCGTGAAAAGAAAAAAAAAAATGAAATATTCGTAAAATGATCGTTAAAGCTGCGAACAAACAATTACGAATTAAAAAGGGCGAAAAAAAAAAACAAATCGACCCCTACGAAAACATTTAATCTGGTAACGTTGAACGAAAAACCACCGTCAAAACTTTCCCAATCGTACGTTCTCGAGCCATCGTCAACCCTCGAGGCGACAAACCCCCCCTGTTCTCGAAAACATTTCTTCCTCGGTTGGAAAGGCCTCTTATCGTCGGTGATTACGACTTTTTAACGGAGATTTCCTCTCTCCTCGTCTTATCTGTCGCCCCTCTGTCTCTTTCTACCACCCTTCACGCCACCCTTTCGAACGTTTCCGTGGTTGTAACTGGATTCTAACCATCGTCTTCAAACTCCTTTGCAATCTCGTCGAATCGATCTTCTTTTTTTCCTTTCTTTTCTTTTCTTTTCTTTTTCTTTTTCTTTCTTTCTTTCTTTTTTTTTTTTTTTTTTTCTCTCAAACTTTGAATTCGATTTGCATATGAAAGAATGGCATTCACGACTTCTTGCTCGAGGTTCTTGAGGTTTCTGGTCCGTTCTTTGAAACGTTCTCTCGACCTGGGTCCACTCGAACCAGAGCCTGTGTCATGCAAATTTTATTATTGTGACCGCTGTCGGATCTGACCAACGCCTCCACCTTTCGGAGAGGGAGGCTCTTTTTGCGAGATCGCGCAAACCGTTGATCGTGATTGAAGTGCCTCGTGAACAGGCATTCGACCGACGTTGCTCGAATACGCTTTCTGCTGGATGAAAGGGGGAATTTGATTTTTTAAAGGAGATTACAATCGATCGTGGAGAGGTGTTGAGCGAAGATCGGGGAGATTTTGATTAGATAATAAAAATTTCGATTCAGAATTTTCATATCTCGTATACAAGTAATATAAAATATTGATTTAATATTATTATTTTAAAAATTATAAATCGTATATATATATATTTTTAAAGATTGTATTTTTATATTATTTAATATTTAATATTTAATATATTTTTATTTTTATTTCCATTTAATTAAACCGCGAGAAAGTTATAATTAGCCCTCGGCAATTATTTTTTTATTAATTATCGTTAGTAATCTCCATCAAAACTTTTAAAAATTCTATATTATTTCTCTGTAATAATTTTTTAATAATTTTCAATTATAAATATTTCTGTAAAAGGAAATATATTAATCCGATCAAATTAACCAGCATAAAATTATTGCTCAGAAATAAAAAAAACGTAAATGTTCAAGAATAATATATTTCGTTTAAATATTATATATTATCCATCGGTGTGTACAACGAAAATTCGAGGATTCAGCGTTCGATTTTAACGTGTGATTTATTTATGTATATATTATTGTGTATACGTTTTTCCTTGATATTGATACAACGTAGTAATATTATTATTGTCGGGAACAAATATTACATGAAAACATGTTTTTGTTCGCAGTGCCTCCTAATATAGAGGATTACCAGACCTCGTCAGACGTCATTGTGCGAGAAGGCGCGAACGTGACATTAACGTGCAAAGCGACGGGAAGCCCTAAACCGAGCATAAGTTGGAAAAGAGACGATGGCTCGATGATTTCAATTAACAAGACTTATTCCGGTGAGTAAATCGTTCCATTTGCCGTGAACAAATATTATTACGGTGTTACAACTTGGTATAATAATAATATTCGCTATATTATTATTGCAATGTTACAAATTGGCACGAAATTATAATTTAATATTGTTATAACGGGACAGTTGCGTTGTATTTCGATTTTACAGTAGAAACGATGATACTTCAACGTTAAATTGTTTTCGTTGTTTCGACGGTACTCCGCCAATGATTATTTTTTCGATATGTTATTCTTTCCTTTCGAGTGTTTTTCTCTTTTATTTTTATGGTTCTGTTTTTACATTGCCCCCCTGTTACGTTTGAAATAACACGGCGTAAATGGCGATTTTTAATTGGTGTAAATATGAGGTACCATGAATTAATGAATATTTTGTTGCGTTTTTTTATGGTAATTATCACTCGTTGAAAGGAAAGAATACATGTGTATTTGTTAATAGTTAATTTTTATTTATGATTTGAAAGGTATACAGTTTTTATTTTTCATCGATATTAGGACATTCAATTTTTCCTGATTTTCCAAAAAATTCCATAAATTTCTTTGTTAAATCCCTGGTTCTTTTGCAAAATTTATCAATTAGTAATATTACAAAATTGGCCGATTACAAGTTAATCAGATTCAAAATAACTTTTTTACAATTATGGATTGACGTTAAAAATTGTCTCGAACATTTTCCAAATAAATCATTTAGAAAACATTTAGAAAAATAGAATAATCAAAAAAGAAAAACTCTGACAGAAAATAAAATTTCACGAATTGTACTCGTTAGAAAAATGAAATTATGAAATATCTTTAGAGTAAGAAAAAAAGAAAAAATTTCAAGACAATTTAATACAAATTTTGAGCATCATCGTTTCAAAACTCAACCGACATCGATCTATGATTTCGATCTATGATTCTGCGAATCTGCTGCGCGCGGCAATTAAAAATAATGATATTCGTCTGGCTTCTGTCCAAAGATCAAACGCGGTGTCATCTCAAAAAACTGTGTTATATCGTAATCACAGGGAAGATCGTGTGCGAGTGGTTGCTCGCGAGAGGAAGGGCAGAGGAGAAGAAATGGGAAAAACGAAAGCTTGTTCGACGATAGTGCGTTTAATGGAAAAAAAAAAAAAAAAATAAGAAAAAGGAAAAGAAAAAAAAAAGAGCGAGAGAAAGGATATTCCTCATTAACGCGTCACGTGATTCCGAGGACGACACGAGGAAATGTCATGAATTCGATGTCGTTAACGATGAGAATTTTGTAACGCGTAATTACGTTGGATTTCGAGGAACGACACGAATTTTTTCACGTATTTTTCCTTTTTCCTTTTTTTTTTTTTTTTTGTACATATTTTCATGGTATTTTTCATATTTTCGCGCATTAATTTACAAAGGGAGTAAATAAGGGGTGGCGCAGCGCGATGGAACTTAAAATAGGCGCTCGAGGTTTTGATTTTCGCGGAGATTGACGTGTTTTCTGGAGGGAGAGGATAGTGGTTGGATGATTCTTGCTTTTCGAAGAGATTAAACATTTAATTCTGGTTCTGAGGCCAGAAATCATTAAACACGTGACGAGTAGAGTTACGGGCGCATATCGAATACGCGTGACAAGTTTGAAGTTGGAAAAGGGAATTTGTAATTAACGTGTCCAAGTGATAAACCAAATCTGTATCTGCGAACGAGGTTAAATTATGAATATAACATTGTAGAGAGGATTGGTAAACTCCATGATTAAGAAATTTAGGTGGGCCGTGTATTTCAAAAAAATACAGGATTTTAATTTAACGACGTGTCGTGAAAATAAGTCGTGTGATGGGTTACATTATGAGAATCGGTGAGTAATTTCGTAATGTACTTGTGAAATTTATATATTCCGTATAAATTGTATTTTTAATTTAATTTATTTAATTTATCGATGCAAATGTTGTGATTCAAATAAATAAATTAGCTCGATCGAGAAATAAACCGACAAAATTTTTTCATAAGATCTCGAAGGTTTTTTAATATTTTTAATATCGATTGCAAATTAATTTTCGAAGCTTTGTTTATCACATTTTCAGATATTATTTATATAAAATTGATCACTGTTTAATAATTATTAATTTCTCTATCGAACAAGAACCAATCACGATAAAAATATCAATCCTTTGGTTTTTCTATAAAAAAAAAAATACTTATACATTTTTGAGAATCGACTATATATAGTACACGAAACATTTCGAAATATATTTCTGGAATTAAGGCATCGCGAACTCGTTGAATTTTCTCTAATAAAACGAACTTATACGGAGACAAATTCATTTCGTATTTTTTTCACGATCTTCCTTCCATCCCTCTGCTCGTTGCCTTGTCAATTAATTAAAATTAGCGAGGCGATTTCGAGGCTTTTAGAGTTCGTCGAGTGGTTATTTCACGACATCCGACAGAAGGAGAATTAAAAAGGGGGGAAGAGAAAAAGAAGAAAAAAAAAGAAAGGGAATTGTCTGCAACGTTATAAAATGTCGCTTATCATTTTCAGTGATAGAATGGGAAGGCGAGATGCTGGAAATCACACGTATCTCGAGACTGGACATGGGCGTTTATTTATGCATCGCGACAAATGGCGTCCCTCCTACTGTTAGCAAGCAGATCAGAGTCTCGGTTGATTGTGAGTAGATTTTTCATTTCTCGTTTGTAAATCGATAAATTTGTTGTTACAATGTTCTGATTCGAAAGAGTGATATGGTTTCATTAAAATTCACTTGATTTGAGCGATAGAAAAATACGATACGTTAGATGATTGGAATATTTTCTTTATTCATTTGCTGTGATAAGTTTAAAGATGTTTGTTCCAATATTTTTGAAATTTTTTTGATTTTTTGAAATTATGTAACATATAGATTAATTTTAAATGTAACAACACTCTTTCCTATCTCTAAAAAATACCAGTTTATTATTGCAACTGATAGAAGATGAAATATGAAATATTTTTATCAGTTTTAAATGAAAATTTCAATAAATCCAAAATTAAAAATCGTAACAACATTTTTCTTTCGATATACAATATTTTATATTTTAAAAATATTTGAAGCATGCTACGAAACATTAGAAAAATCATAATGAAAAAATAGATGGAAAATTCCATATATTGAAAATTTTTTTTCGAAAAATCCAAAATATTAACCAATTAAATACCAAACCGAACGAAAATTTAATCAATCACATATCCATCTTCGATTCAATATTATTCGCTAATTAAAAAAAAAAAAAAAAGAATATTGAATTTTCCATATTCCACATATTTTTAAATTTGACAGAATTTTTAAAAAGTTATAAACACATGGTATATAAGCGTCTTCTCTCATCCGTCTGAACTTCGTGAGCGCGAAACACAAGGTGGAAAGATGACTCTAAGGGGTTGAAGAACATACAATTTAATAATAGAGAAAGGTGTCCGACGACAAAGCGGCTCTTTGCCGCTTACACCTTCTCTCGTCCCCTTTCTATCGTCGGAAGAGCAAAGTGGCGAGAGTTTAAGCGAGAGACAAGGGGTGGAAATGGGACGATGCTTGATTCGCGCGAAAGAGTGAAAGCGAATGGCATCGAGGGTGGAGAGTAACATAAAAGTAAGCTTGGGTGAACCACGACACATTATTATCCGTATACTTTGTCTATTGTTACGTTTCTCTTCCTTCTAAATACCGATCTTTGATGCATCTTTTTTCAAACTTTTCGTGCCATTTTTTTTTTCTTTTTTTTCTTTCTTTTCTTTTCGCTGTTTTGTCCTAAAATATGTAAAGTGCATGTATTCTTTCAAAAAGGGATTGAATTTATGGTGTTAGATTGATACTCGTTAAAATTAATGTTCGTTTAAGGGGTTTAATGGAATTTTTTGAAAGAATAATGAAAATTTTTGGAAACCAGAATAGTCTTTGTAAAAAAGAATCTGTGATATTGTGTTCGATGATCCAATTAAGAAAGATTAAAGAAATAAAATACGTTTTATTAAATAAATTTCTATAATAATTAGATTCTTTTTACATACAAAACAGCAAAGACAATTAATAATTAAAATTGCATCATAATAAAATTTTACTCCATACTTGAAATTTTAATTTTTGCCTAATATAATATAATATGCAATAAGTTCAAATAGTATATCTAAAATATCTTCCTTAAATTTTCATATTATTCTCACCATTCACTCTTCCCCATTACACGACACAAATTAATAATTACTTTACTCCACGATCCCTGTAATTATTAATCATCAAAAAAAAAAAAAGAAAAATCCTCTCTCGCATCGTGCTCAAAATTTCAATATCCGCACACGACACGTGATGCCCCGCCATTAATCCTTTCCACCCTTTAATATCACATGCATTCTCGCCCCCCTAGCAAGAAATTCGCTGTGAAAAAAGTAGGCCGCGCTCAAATTGTTCATCGTTTAAATAAATTTAAACACAACAAGCCAACAGGAGGAGGAGGAGGAGGGCCATCTTCCCGTTATACATAAAACCTGTCCTGCGTGTTAAAAAGCGTGGAAGAAACGATGAAATGAAAAAGCCGACAGAATGAGAGCCACGCTCGTCGACGATAAGAAAACCAAGCCACGTGTTACTCCCGCGTTTCTGGAACAGGAGTACGAAAACCAAGGAGTTATCCCTTTAGTTAAAGCGAGGCTAATTTATTTAGCGGCGCCGTAAAGAAGCGTCGAATTGCGATTCAGGGGTCAGAGAGTGTTCCAGAAGAAAGGGAGGGAGGGGGTTGAAAAGAGGGTGATGTTTTTGCCCCCCACGGTCTCTCGACGGATGCGCGCCAAGGATTATCCTTTTAGGCGTCCTTTTAATTCCATTTGTAGCCCGGTACTCCCGTGCAAAGGCTTTTGTCAACGAGTATTACCTCGCTCCCTTTGAAGTGAAATTGCGATCGAGTAATGTAATAGTTCTGCCCGCGATATGCATTAACAGGCGTGAGCCCGGAATTGAAGACGGGGGCGCGGAAGGAAAATATGATTTTCCGCGTGAAACTTGGCGAGGACGAAGCTCTTACCGCGGCAGGAGGGGAGGGTTTCGATACTTGAAGAGTTTCTTCGTGGATTTGCTGTGTTTGGGCTTTTGTTCGTTTAAAGAGGGGATTTTGTGATGGAACGAGATATTAATTATATTTGTAATAAGATATTTTGGGAAATTGGGATTAGTGTTATTAGGAAATTTTGTTTAAGGAAAGGGAAGAAAAAGGGGTTGATTGTAATTGTTATAGTAGTTTTTCGTATTTTGTTGAAAAATTATTATATTTCATTTGATATAATGTATGATCGAGGTAGATAAAATATAAAGTTAAAAATGAAGAGATAGGGGGGAGAGTTTCGATACTTGAAGAATTTCTTCATGGATTTGCTGTGTTTGGGCTTGTTTATTTGATGAGAGGATTTTGTAATGGAATGAGACATTAGGATAAGTGTTATTAGGAGATTTTGTTTAAGAAAAGGGGAGAAAAAGGGGTTGAAGTGACTGTAATTGTCATAGTAGTTGTGTAATTTGATGGATTCTTTTTCGTATTTTGTTGAGAAATTATTATATTTCATTTGGTATAATGTATGATGATAGATAAAGTATGAAGGGTTGAAAAAAACATTGTAGCTAAGAATGATCAAACGTGATAATACGAACACGTTTTATTAGTACGAGAGAAGATTAATTAAACGAGGGGACAGATTATACCCATTTTCATCATCCGGATGACATTATAAGTTTACGAGCTGAAAAACTACCCTTTCCCTGTATCCAATGGCCATTCTTGCCCGATTATTATACATCTTCCCTCATATATTACAATTTCCTTACAATCTTTTTCTAGAAATTTATAACGTGTCGATAACAAGCAATTAATTGTACTGATTTTACATCAGTAGAGAATGATGTAAAAAAAATTCGTAGTTTACTATTCTATGTTAGAAATCGTATCCTCGTTACCCTCTTCAATCGTGCTTTAGCTTTTCGCGTTTGACAAATGCATTGATACGATTGTATTCGGTTTCAGAAGTCTTATGTAGACGCAATTGAGTCGTCTCAATTGTCAAAGGAACTAGTTGTTTAAGTTAAATGGAAGTGGGAATGGTTAATTCGCCGCAGAGTTTGCGCGTGTCGCGTGCCACTGTATTTACCCCCTTTCGTATTGTGTGTATGTATGTATGTATGTAGTTGTTCTAGATAGCTTTAGGAAATTGAGTGACTTAGAATTTGGGTTAGTTAACAGTGTCAAGTACAATAGTTCGTTGTTACGTTAACATAACGTAAAAATAAATTTTCAAATATATATTCCTCAAATTGAATTAAATTCAAATTGGATCAAATTGAATTTTTGCATGTACGTCGTGATCTTTTTCACAATTTTATTAATAATATCTTAATCGTGAAACGTTATATAATGTAATAAAATATTTTAAGAAGGTATTATTTAAAATTCAATGATAAAATTTAGCTCGCGTTAATAAAAAAAAAATCTGTAGCATTTATATAC